CATGGAATCTGGGTGGCTGCCTATTGCATGATTAAGTTGTCAGGAGAGCAAAGCAAAGATCTATATGCTCTACTCAGCAAATTCCAAGAGCCACTAAAACTCCAGGGAATAAGAACGTGCTCTTTCAGGGGGCTGCAGAGAGCAGAAGTTAAAAAAGGTGAGCTGTGCCTTCAGCTCCGGTCATGGTCCCGGGGTCCTGGGATCGAGCCCTGAGTCAGGCTCCCTGCTCAGCGGGGAACCTACTTCTCCCTCTGCCCCTCCCCCTGCTCCTGCTCTCTCTTTCACTCTCTGTGTCAAATAAATAAATAACCTCTTTAAAAAAAAAAAAGGTACGCTCAGAATCTCAGGTCTATCTCTTACTAGCTTATGATTTATACTCTTAGTTCCTCAGTTTACTTATCTGTGAAACAGGAATAAAACCTACACCTCATAGGGTTGTAAGGGTTAAATGCGGTCACCCTGAGGACGACATCTGCCTGATGCTTGTGGAGAACACATACTCCTGATTCCGGGACCCTGGCCTTCTGAGCCAGAATCTCCAGGGCAGGGTCCTCAGGACCCGCCTCTTTAGTAAACAGCCAGGTGATTCTTAAATTGGCAAGTTTTGCAAAATCGGATAGAATCTAAGTAAAGCACCAGGCCCTGATCTAGGCTCCCTCCACGAAGGTCAGCCACTGACTGATTAGCACCTGGGCCTATCTGCAAATAGTACCACCATGGCCTTCTTGATAATGTCACTCAGCATGATTAATCTGTAGACACCCTATAATAAAATTTTAGACGATGTGGCTCTATATCTGTAAATAAAAACTAAGTGAACTGTACATTTAAGATTTGTGTGCATTACTATTTATAAATCACACTTTTTAAAAAAGACTTTATTTTAGAGAGAGAGCACGCATAAGCAGGGAGAAGAGCAGAGCGGGAGGGAGAGGGAGATAATCTCCAGCAGACTCTGCGTTGAGCTCGAAGCCTGACAAGGGACTCGATGAGGGGCTCAACTTGGGGCTTGATCCCACGGCCCTGAGATCATGACCTGAGCCACAACCAAAGTTGGATGCTTAACCCTCTGAGCCACCCAGCCACCCCTATAAATCCTACTTTAACAAAAGGTTTTAAAAAGAAATTTTAAACAGTCATGAGTCCCCTTCTTTAGAAAAATGAGCTCAGGGGCACCTGGGTGGCTCAGTCAGTTAAGCATCTGCCTTTGGCTCGGGTCATGATCCTAGAGTCCTGGGATCGAGCCCCACATCGGGCTCCTTGCTCAGTGGGGAGCCTGCTTCTCCCTCTGCCTCTCTCTCTCTGTCAAATGAATAAAATCTTAAAAAAAAAGAAAAAAGAAAAATGCACTCAAAGACAAATCATGCTACTAGATAGGCCATGAGCCTAAGTGCTCATATATGCAGGACACACTGCCATTATGTGACTGTATGGAACACAGAGCAAGTAAATGAGTCACTTGATGAACTTCAATATGTGACTGGGAAGCTGCCAGTGGAAGACCGGAGTAACTTAAGTAATGGAAAGATCCAGAGTTTCCCTTTGACTTCTACCACCTCTGGCAGGGAGTTCTCTGCGGGAAGCGAACAGCTTCAGCCCAGCCTCTCATCTCAAACAGCCAGCTTTGTCCGCAAGGATAGAATGAGTTTCTGCCTTCGTCTGCAGGGAGCCCAGCTCCATAGCCTGGAGCCACACAAGGACTGCGGCTCCCCCGTGTGATTGCGGGATTCCGGCGAAGGGACGGGTCGTTCTCCTCGCTTTTTGTTTGCTTTCCAAAAGCCTTTCTCTAAACATCTACAGGGTGGTGGAGGGAAGATGACCATGCTGCACAAGACAGTAGATCTGCACTACGCTTTGGAGCGAAAGCAGCATTCCACCGCGGCGTCTAACGGAGGACGACTCTGGAAGGCGGAGGCGGAGCGGTCAGCCCGGGAGGGGGAGGCGGGGCGGTCAGCCCGGGAAGGGAAGGCGGAGCGATCAGCCGGGGATGGGGAGGCGGGGCGATCAGCCGGGGATGGGGAGGCGGGGCG